CATCTCAATACTTCACTGGGTCCCACGGAGACAAAGATTTGTGTTCAAGTCACGCTATAAAATAGAATATTCCGTGGAGGGGAGCCTCCCACCTGGCAAGAATGGACTGTGGCACCCTGTGAGGACAGTGTGAGGTGCAGGAGCCCCAGTGCAGATTTTTTAGCTCAACTTAATTTGGGTAAAGGTTAGAAAGCTGATTTTAAACACAACCAGCCCTAAATCAAACAAACCTCAACTCTAGTAGAACAAAAGCCACTCAGCAAAGAAACAAAGCCATAAAGCAACAGTCCTGTAAACAAAGACCAAAGCTACTAGCCAAAGGTCAGACTCCACACATAGTGAATGCAGAAATGCCTGGCTTCTCAGTCATGCTAGTGGGAAGTAGATGGTCTTTGCCACTGAATGAAGAGCACCCTGGAATAAAAGTGACACCATCCTCCTGGAGTCTGGGTCCTTTCCCCTGACTGACACCCTCGACACTTGCAGGCCCATCCCTGACCCATTAAATGCAAATGTACTACACTGATAATGAAAACAAACCCTCCAGGCCAGAAGGGATCCCAGCAGTCCTCAAGGGCTGTAGGTGACCATCCCTCCTCAAGAGAGGGACAATGTCAAGGGCAGCAGGAGCCAGGATACTTGCCCTATTTGCATATCAAAGAAGAAAAAAAACCAACACAAGCCCTCAGTAAACCTCCCAGGCTTCTGAGCGGCAGGGAAGTTAATTCATTGCATAGATGAAAGATGAAAGAGAATGAATGAATGAATGACATTTTACCAAGGTTCTCTCTCAGCAGTGTTTACAGAGGCTCTACAATGAAGAAAATCATGCAGAGAGCGTTGATCCTGTGCAAAAACCACAACATTCAGACACTGTTGTTTTAAACGAAGATTAGTAAATGTTTTAAAAACAACAACAAAACAGGAGTATGGCGAATGAGGGAGAGGACACAGACAGGAAATGAGGGATAGAGGAGGCACAGCAGTGTTCTGTGTGTCCCAAGTAGTCCACTGTGCAGGAGGAGGTAGCACCACCTGAGGGAGCAGCCTGAGTTCCTCCTGGCTGGGACTGAGGTCATCCTCCTGCAAGGTAAAAGGTCACTGGGAACCATGGTTGTTCCAGCCACCGGCCAGAACTCCAGAACAATGGCATAAATTTGAAGGCTTAGAACTTTGCCCCTACTCGGAGAATTTTTTTCTGTCCCGGGCCTGGTGAAAATGGGCACCAATGTTTGCTAAGCAAATACTAACATGTACAGTGACTACTGTTTCCTCCACAGCCTAGGAGAAAGGCACTGTCTGGGTAAGAGGTACTTATTGAACACTAGAAACAACACAATGATGATAGTAATGACTTCTTTTCACTGAGCACTATGCTCCCTCCTTTACCCAAAGCATCTCATTTGGAACTCATCGCACAGACCTTGAGGTAGGCCTCTTATTAAGCCATTTAAAGACCTGGAAATTGAGGCTATAGAGAGATTAGGTAACTTATACAGCTAGGAAGAGGTAGGGCATGGAACACAATCTGGATCAAAGGATACGGAGGCTAGCAAGATCTGTTCATTGCTGCCTGTGGACCACTCAAGGGAACCAGTTTCCAACACAGTTCCATTATGGATGGGTTTGGTGACAGTTTATTTTTAAATGGAATGCATTTAGAAGTATCAGGAGGAATACTAAATCTATTCTGAAATAAACTGATGCTAAAAAAATTCTTTATTTTCTAGGAATAAAAATTAGAGGGCTGGGAATGTAGTTTAGTAATAAAGTGCTCACCTAGAATATGCACATGTCCACGGCTCTGGGTTCAATCCCAAGGACCATAAAAAAGAGAGAGTGAGACAGAGACAGAGCACACAAGAAACACATATGTGCATTTCATGTGCATTTTATATATATATATATACACGCACACATACACACATATATATACACACATAGTACTTTTTGTCCTAGATATTCAAAGACTTCATATTCAAAGACTCCTAGATATTCAAAGACTCCTGGATACAAGACTTCAAAAGGTTTTAGATTGGGTGTTACTTTTAGCAAGGCACAAGGAGGGGGATCCAGGAGTAACTTGATTAACAAAATAAAGAACATATGCTATCTTATTTTTGTGTTATTCAGACTCCCCTGGCAAATTTTTATTTAATAGGTAAAAAAGACCTACTGGCATAAATACAATTAATCTAATGGAATGGTGACCCCCAAAACAGCTTTAAAAACTCAAGATACCTGATGATACCACAAAGAAAAACTTTCCAGGAGACTAATCTAGAAGCAAATACTAAAATCCAGTACTTAAGGATCTTTAAAGTTTCTTATTGGGACATGAATGGAACCAATAAAGCACGTCCTGGCCCTGAAAGAGCAAGCTCCTCTGTATCTGCAAGTGCAGAGGCTTCTTTCACAATGACTAAAACCAAAGAGTATTGGCAATTAAGAAATTAAACTTCTATAAGGATTACCTGAATTCCATGAATATTACTTCTGACAAACTAAGACAGAATTTAAACAGTAAGCCAATAGAATATGCCAACGTGCCTACTGAGCAAATGTGAGGCACTGGGATCAATTGCCTGTGCATATCTATCTGTCTACCTATCTGCCCACATGTAGATAGATAGATAGACACACGCACACACCAAATATGTGGGCATGGTGCTGTTTTTTAAAAGAAGAATCAGTCTAATAAGGAAAATATGAAAGCACATTTAAACTTACTATGTATTAAGGACATTCACATATTTCTCATTTAATTTTCTCAACAACCTAAATAAGTTGATGACATCCTTATTTTTCTCCCAACAGATGAGCAAACAAGTTTAGAAAATTTAAATCCCTCTAAGATTATTCAAAGAACTGAAACCTGTGAGAATCTACAGCCACTTGTGTTTCCATCACTTTGTTTTAAAAGCAAGAAAAAGGAAGAGGTGGGAAGAATGAATGGAAAGAAGGGAGGACAGAAAGAAGGGGTAGAAACATTCTATAGGGGGTTTGGTATTGCACTTTGTTAGCACTAAGATCTGAAATCCTGAAAGCCAGGCTAACCCTGAAACCAGTCTTGAGCTTACGGGAACACTTGTTATTAAACCATTTGCTTTACCAAATTATTATTTTAAGGCCTCAATTTTTTAAAAAAGCTAATTCTAGCACTAGCAAGTAACAAGTCAATACAGCTATGTATTGTCTTTAAAATACAAATTAGAAAAGTGCAAATTGGCCAGCACTGAGCTTACACAGGTGGCATCTGTGTTTGCTAGTACTAAGTAAGCCACCAGAGTCATTTGCCCCTTAGTAACCTGCACAGAGAACCACTAATAATTATTAAAGCACAACCACTGGAAAATGATAAATGAACACAACAGTTAAGGCTTCTTTCCAAAATTAGAACAAGGAAATCTTCACTACATAATGAAAATCATTAGGAGGCTACAGAGGAGTAATTGCAGGCAAACGTGACTTCTCCGCAGAAATTAATCAGCTAATAACCATTCACCATCTCTTGTGCAGCACAGTATACGCATTTATAATAGGGCCAATAAGGTTCTCAACAATAGTTCCAGAGTAAATGAATGACATTTTAGGCCTAACACAAAAGTACTCTTCAGACCATGAAAATCAGAGTTTCTACTTCACGTTTTTGCGTGGCTTCCCCTTTTTCTGTGCCGTCCTATTTACTGTCCACGGAGATTCTACCACACATGGTGGGTAGCCTTCGTTCCTAAAAGCATTTCACCTCTGTCAGCCACCTAGTGTATGCCGGGTGGTCTACAAGCAATTCACTAGTGTTGTCTGGTTTAATTCTCCAAGGGGGGGGGGGGGTTGGTGGGCAGAATTTTGAAGGCAAAGCAACCAGGAAGATGGGAGCCAAACTTTTCTCACCGCCAGCAGGGTGGGCAGTTTCCGGGAGCAGAACTCGGGCGTGCGGGGCTATGGGCTGAGACCACCGGAGGCGGCGTGTGCAGGCCCGGAGGGTCGGGCCGGTTGGAAGGGGACTTGCTGGGCGGAAAGGTGGCGCAGGTCCCCTTTACTTTTGCGCGTCGACAACCCCCCGCCCCGAGCTCGCGCTAGCGCTCGCATCTGCACTGCCGTCCTCTCCACTATATAGCAGCCCGGCCTCCGAGCTCGGAGCCTCCGGGGCGGGCGGGGACTACACGCACACACCTCTCTTGGAGAAGCTGGTCCTACGCGTCACAGCGTTTTTCACTTTGGGCGAGGGGAGAAGGTGGAAGAAGTGGGCAGTTAAAGCACTGCCATCCATGGAACATCTCTCCCCCCTCCAATAAGCTGCCCCTCCACAGACACGCAGGGAGGAGCTAGCGCCGCCGTCGAATTGGGACGAGAAGAGGAACTGACGGGCGCGACCCCAGAGTCACCAGAAAAGCACCGTCCCTTCCCCGATCACGGCCCACACCATCTTAAAGGACACAGGATAGATGGGAGGCGGTTACCTGGCCTTGGAGCTGGAGCGGTGGAGACAGCGATCTCACCCCCTCCACCCCACCCCGCAGGTGCGCGGCCAAATACACTTGGCCCTGGGGTCATTTTCGGAAACGGCATCAGTTCCCAGAGCGGGACCCACTAGAACCAGCCATGGGGGACTCCCAGAGGAGTTGGCCGCCGCGGCGGTTCAGCCAGCGGCACCCTCCGAGGGCGTCCCAAGCACTGGCTGAACTTCGGAGCTTAACCCGGGACAAGTCTGTCGCAAACCAGCTAAACGCCCCAACACCTCTCGCAAGTTCCCGGCTCCTGACAGGTGGAAACCCCGCGGACCTCCGCACAGAAGCGCTTTCCTGGCCAGCGGTGCCTCTTGGTCCCCAAGCGTGCGGCGACTCGCGGCTTCCCACCCAAATCCCACCTATGAAGACTTGGGAGACCGAGGGCGCGGACAGCAGCTGTCTCCCCATCCCGGATCCCCGGAGTCAGCGGGCCTGCGGACCGCCCGGGGAGAGGCGGGACGCTCGGAGGTCTGGGCGCCGCGCCCCTCTTACCTAGGGCTCGCAGGGCCCCGGCTGGGGCATCCGTCCGGCGCGCCCCTCCGAGCCTCGCCGCGCACCTGTCCGCCGCCGCCCGGGCCCAGCCCTCCCCGCGCTAGCGCTTCATGGCGCACACGGCTGGCTGGGGCCCCGGGGAGCGTGTCCAGTCGGCTGCGACTCCTCCGGCTCTCGGCTCGCCAATGGTTCCCCGCTTTCCCCCGCCCCGCGTCCGAGCGCCCTTCCTCGGCGGCCGCCCCTTTCTCTCCGCTCTGCCCGACCGGCCAAACTGGTTTCTCCGCTCGGGGAGGAGTCTCTGGTCTCCCTCCCGCGGCCGCAGCCCCGCGCGGCTGGGGCCGAGACTGGAGCTAGGCTAGGGCTCGGGGCGGGCCCGGTGTTCTGCCCTCCCCCTGTCCCTCCCCGGGTCAGAGAGAGGCTGGATGGCGAACCCTGTGTGGGCCAATGGGGCCTAGGTCTAGTCCAGCACCCTCTGTGAGCCCCTGCGCAGGTGGGCACCCGGTTGGTGCCCCTGAGGACGCCTTCTCCATTGGCCCAGCCGGGGATCCGGGGCTCCCGGGCGCTCCAGCTCTCCCGAAGTGCAGTCGCCACCCTGCCTCACCATCCCCGAGTCACTTTCCCGCCCTCTGCCGGCTTGGCCGAAACCCAGCGTCGGTGACCGCGCTAGCCCGGAAAGCTGGCAGGGCCGCGGCTCGCCAGCGACCTGTGCTCCTCTGTAAGGAGAGCTGTGCGCTATCCATGCCAAGTCACGTTCCGGAACCAGTCGCCAGAGATTGTTGCACAGAGGGTGGGGATAGAGACTTCGCCAAAAGACTTCAAGAAACTTACCCTGTAATTGCAGCAAGCAGGCTTTTTCACTGAGACCAAAGTTGCTCATGTTTAGAGATTTGGGTCAGAGTTAAGATACTGCACGTGCACCCCGAAATGTAGCTGAGCATTTTGGACCCTCGTGCGCGTGTTGGGAGTATACGGTGTAAGTACACTCCTTACACTGCTAACCCTCTGTTCTGTAGGATCTTAGTGCTCACCTACTAAGTACAAGTTGCTGGGGTCAGAATGGAGGAAAGTCAAGATGTGAGAGTGTGCTTAGGGCCTGAGAGAGTAGTGTTCAAGTGGTAGAGCCCTTTCCTAGCAAGCTCGAGGTCCTGGGTTCCAACCTCAGCGTGTGTATGTGTTGGGGGGGGGTTACACTGCACAATGTGGTGAGGGCCAGGGGACTCAGGTAAATATCAGTTACCTGTAGATCAAAGAGGCTGATTCATTGCCTTGAAAGTTCCAGTTCCCAACTAGGATCACCCAGAAGGCTTCATAGAGGCAGTGGGACTGGTTCTCAAAACCCACAATTTTAGGGATGGGAGTTATGTAGAGAGTTAGTCAAAGGATGGCCCACTGATTGATCTTGTACACAAAAAATCCAACTGATATTGTTAAACTTAAGGCTGCCCGGAGGTCCCTTTTCATCAATCACACTTAGGTAGTGCTGATCAGTCATTTCGTCTCTATGGGCCTCAGTTTCCTTAACTGTAAAATGAAGTCAGACTACCTGATCTCAAGGAGTTCCTTCTAGCACTTACTTTCAGAACCCAGCAACAGAGCAAAGGGACGGGGCAAGAGAGTAGAGGGCCTGTTTAGTGACAGAGGGGTGGGTGGTCTGCTGCAGTGTGGTGGTGACACATGAGGCTAGTGGGCGGACCTGGGCCCCAGAGCCCTTGAATGCAAGGCTAAGGAGTTTGGACTTGTTTTGGTGTACGGGTGAACCACTGAAAGTTTGACCACAACAACGACATGATCAAGGCTGTATTTTAGAGGAAATTATGGGGATGTTCATGAGAGGATAAGGGTGAAGATGGGGTATCACCTGGGAGGTTAGTTCAGCAACATAGGGAGAAATGGCCAGGACACAGAGCAGCCAGAACCTGCAAGTGACATGAAGAAGGGAGCAAGGGACACAAGTCAGTTCTCAAGATTGAGAAAAGGAATGGCAAAGTCAGGAGAGTCACCACTTAGAAATGCCAGAAACCTAACATCATGTAGTACAACATGCACTAATAAAATGAAAGAATAAGAAAAAAAGAAATGCCAGAACCCTAAGAATCAAGAGAGGACTCAAGTTGGTTGGGGTGTAGCTCAGTGATAGAGTGTTTGCCTAGTATGCACATGGCTCCAAGTTCAATCTTCAGCACCCTGCCCCCCGAAATGAGGACTCTACATTAAAAGAACAGTCTCTTTCTCACAGCTCTACTACAAACTGCTCAAACTGACCAAGAAAATGTTGCATAGAAGAGACTGCCTTAGGATATGCCCAGTTCACACCTGTCCCCAAAGTTGATAACTTCCACTTCCAAGGCTGCTGTTAACACTGCTATACAGACACCAGAGATTCAAGTGAGGTTTTTCTTCCTTTTACAGGCTAAATTGGAGGGGAAGCATGGTAGATGAGTCCAACAAGTATGGCTTCAAACATTTATTCATTCAACAGATATTTATTGGGTACCTACTATGTGCCAACACTGTTTTAGCTGCTTGGGTACAATAATGAACCAATCAGGCAAATGCTATCTGAAAAAGTAACATTAAAAAATGCTTTGAAAAAACAGAACAGACCTGACTGAGAACTTGCCCTGAAGAGTCTTGCTTCTAGAGCACCATGAAAGTTCTGTCTCAACCTGGGTGATAGTTATGAAGGTGCACATATATATGAGTTCATCTACTTGCACACTTGAGATTTTTACATTGAGAAATAAAATAGAGGCAAATGTTATGGACCATTCCTGTAATCCAAGCTATTTGAGAGTCTGAGGCAGGAAGATTGCAAGTTTGAGACCAACCTGGGTCATTTAGCAAGACCCTATCTAAAAAAGAAAAAAAAAAGATAAGGGGACCGGGGTGAGGCTCAGGGGTAGAGTGATTTCCTAGCATGCACAAGGGTCTGGATTCAATCCTCATGACCACAAAAATACATACATATATACATACATGCACACATAATGAGGTCTGGCAATGTAGCTCAGTGATAGAGTGCTTGTTTAACATGTACAAAGCCTTGGAGTTGATCTCCAGCACTAATAATAAAAAATATTCATCAGGGTTCAGAGTTTAGGAGTGAGAAGATAAGTCACAGTTTTAAATAATATGGTCGGGGTGGGCTTCCTAGAAATTGCACCTGAAAAAGCCTTAGAAGAAGATAGATTTTTGTCTTAGCTGAGTTACCTGGCTAAAGCCCGACTTGCCTGGAATCTACCAGACCAGGATATGTTCAAACCATTTCCTCATGGGTTTCAGCTCCTGCAACTCAGGTAGCAGACTCAGGCATGTTAGCTGATGTTGCCGGGAGAAAGTAGCTGGACTGGGAGTCCTGACCTATGTAATCTCTGAAAGAACCAGCCCAAGTCTCAGAGTATCCTGTCTGCTCCGTCATTGAAAGTATCTTGTGCATGCGACAAGGACTGATTTTGAAATATGCCTTACATGAGTCACTGAGAGATACGTGGCTTTTTGTCCTGGTAGAGACCTGCTTCCACCTGCCTGGGGTCTTTCCCGGGATTCTCAGGACTGATAAATACCAGGATATTTTATAGAAGCCTTTCCCATTCCATAGCCAACACCTTTACCTTGCAAGCAGCTGGGAGGAATACTGAAATTTAACAGAAACAGCCATTTCTAAAACAGAATAGCAATGCTTTTCAGCTTTTGTAGTTTAAATTCTCTTCCAACCATTTCTTTTTGCCTCTCTTCTTGGCAAGGCTGCTGTATCACATTTAATGGTTGCAAGCAATAAGGCTGCTGGGAGATTGCCCAGAGAACTCACTCAATTTAACTGGAAATTCATTTTTCTCTACAAGGCAAGAGCTAAGGGATAAAAGATAAGCTTAAAAAGAGGTGATACTGCCTGTATTCAGTTCTCTGCTAAGCCCAGTGGTTATTTAAGCTAAAGCATTTCATGCCAGTGGAAAGGTGCTATTGTAACCCTGCACTGGCAGTAAAGATTAACTCAGTTGGAAGGCGAATTTTTCACAGACGATGTCTAGACCAACTTCAGAACTTCTTTATTTTTTATTTTTTTGTAGCTCTGGGGATTGAACCCAGAACTCCTCACATGCTAAGTTTATTCTTTTCCACTGAACTACACTCCCTACCTCAAAATTTTAAATATAAGAAGGTTTTATGTGAACCTGTGTTTGCAATGACTGCTGGTATAAGCTTCAAATACTTGCCTGCTTCCTTTCAAGTGGTGCTTATAAAGCAATACAGATACAGATGATATAGTCTGCTGTCTCTGGCACAAATAATTTTCTAAATACCCACTGAGTTACTAAGCTACCTGCCTCCTTCACCACTTAGTACCTCTTGTCCCTTTTTTAAACCAACATTTAAAAAAAGAAAAATTAGATTGCAAAAGAAACATGAGACATCAGGTAACTAAATGTGTCTCAATTGTTCTGGCAATCTCTCAGGTTTAGCATCCATGAAATATTAGATATATTAACCCCTAGGCATGCTATGAAAATTCACTTTTCCTTCTTTCATATTCAGAAGTATGTTAGTGTGCAGAATTCATCTACAGTTCTTTTCTACAAGGAAGAGATTTTTTTAAAAACTGCTTCCTATCTGGAAATGTAATGTACATCACATTGATCAGGTATTGATAATATAACACTAATTAAACTTAATTAGTATTTAGAAACTAAATTAATAATTTTCCAAAATAGCCTTCCTGTTTTTTGAGACAGGGTCTTGACATGTAGTCCAGACTGGCTTTGAACTCAAGGAGATAATTCTGTCTCAGCCTTCCAAGTGCTAGGATTATAGATGTGTGCCACCATGTTCAGCCTCAAAATCTTCCATGATAATGGTTAGTATAATATTGCTAGGTTTTCATGTGGTTGTAGGAAGTTTGTATGCACCATTTTATGCCCTGTTTTCGTCTCTTCTCATTGCATCTTGAAAACACATTGCTTTTTCTAGCTTCATACCTCTTTTTTCCTGACCTCCCCGCAAGGTCTCCCTTCTAAGCTGCTGCATTCTGAATAAGGCTTGTTAGTTCCTCAATTTGAAGCATCATTCCTCATCTGCCTGATGCTTCCAGCCTTCCTTTGTCAGCTCCAAGGCAGCTTCCTCTGAGGAAGCTTGGCCCGCATATTCCCCAAGCAGTAGTTGCACCTGACTTCTAGGGAAATCTCCCTATTATCTCCACTGCTTTCCTGAGGCACTCCCCTTTGAGTCCTCTGAATAGAAGACTAGGTTTTACTCTTCCTGACCTCTCTTGGCTTAGAGCATTGCTCTGCCACCCTTCATGTTTATTAATTCTTATAGCATGAATCAATGGTCTGCGTAGTGATAATTCTCAGTAGTTGTATAGAATTTTCTTCTGCTGATTTCTTTAGTCACCTGCTATTATTGGCTGTTTATATGTTCATCAGTGGGTCTTCTAGAAATGTGTCATTAATCACAACCCACCACTCTGTTAATGGCTTCTAAAGATTCTGTTTCTCCCTCGTTCCTGTTATTGTGGAAGTTGTGATTTGTTCCTTCTTCTTCCAGAAAGAGCATGCCTCTATTACAAGAGAAGTCTTACCTTGAACATGGACACTAGTATTTGTTGGCATCCCTGGTAC